CGTTCGGTCAGGCCTTTGAAAAATCGTTCGGTCAAGAGCAATACATTCAAACCTTTTGTCAACCTTTCAAGCAGTGGCTGTCCTGCAAATAATAATTGAAATAATTAAGCCCAAATAATTCAAATTAATGAAAATAAGAATTAGTCTTGAAATTAAACCCAAATAGTGAAAATGAGACAATAATGGAGAATTAAGCACAATTCACTAATACAATTGGGTGCGAAAAGCTAAGTGAATAGTAGAAAATAATGACTCATGAATCCTCTTGCTGGTCTTCATTCTGTTGGGGCTGATTTTGTTGTTGGTCTAGCATTGGGAGGATACTTTGTGCAGTCGTGGCTACCGACGGTGGAAGATATTGCATTATTGCACCATTAAAAGTTTGGAATTGTGAAGTGATATGTCTTATTTGTCCCTCACTATTTGCTAGTCGCGACTCACTCTGTGCTAGTTTGGTTTTTAGTTCGATAAACTCCTCCGCATTAACTTGTTGACTAGAAGATGATTGTGTCTGCTGCAAGTAACTATCAACATATTCATCCTGAGAATCCACATTTCCAATCCCATAAACTCGTCCCTTGTATCTTCCACCAGCTTCCTATTACCAACATATATTCCTTACTTTTTCCTGCTCAATAGGATATAAGGGACTGATTTTTGGCACACCAATGGATGCAGTCTCAGACAGTGGTTGAGAAAATCTACTTTAAAATTCTTCCTGTTCAAATAATAAATGTCTGAATTAATAAGATATAGTAAATAATTATTAACGGGTGAAATGTAATACACGTTGTAGAAACTAACATGTGTCTGCCTAGATCTATTATATAAAAATCTCCATTTGAACGTTGAATATGTGTTGGTTGAAATATTTCATCAACATGGACTGATCGACCGAGCTTCTCTGACTGCAAACAAATAAATATGTCAAGTAAAGAAGGGTATGACTTGTTTTTAAAAGGAATTCATATTATATATAAAGAAATCTAACCAAGTGAATAGCGTGGTCATGCACGCTAATAGATCCTCCAGCATGCAAACACCCTCCTTTTTCTGATTCGCGTTTTTTTTTGTTGTATCACACTTTTCTCGACATGTTGGCATGTTCCATTTCTCCATCAAACCATTCTACACTGCATCTCCCATCCAATGGGGCTTTTTACCTTCTCTTCATGCCTCTTTAAACATCTCTAAGAGTCTGTGAGATGCTTTGGAGTGAAACTTTTTTAGAACTCTTTGCTTATCCTCAAGCCTCCATGACACCTTTTTCTATGATTACAATGTTGCTGTTGGAATTGTTTAAATCAAATGTATGGAAATGAAAAGAAATAAATTACTTTGATATGTCAAAGAAGCAAAAGACATTGCATTTAAATATCATTGTACAAAACATTCATTTTAATCTTATACAATATCTAATCATAATCGTTATTTAAAGTAAAATCTCATATACAAAATATATGTTAGTGTTGAATATACATGATTAAGTTTTCATCGTCAAACATAATTTAATTTACCCACCCTTAAATGAGTTTGAATTTTTAAATGCTACCCTTACGATTACTAGTGCAAAAATAACATTTTATGATGTACAAAAGTGACGTATTACTAGTGCAAAAATCACATTTTATGATGTACAAAAGTGACATATTATGACATACAAACTGAGAACATAGTTTTGAGCATTATAATAAGTCTGCACATTTTATGACGTAGCAAAAAAGTTCATTATAATAGATTCAGCATATTATGATGTAGTTATTTTTACCTATCATAATATCAAAATTAACATATTATAACATACATTATCATGTACGTCATAAAATGTTTTTTTTCTTAAGAAAATCATGCTTACATTTTGACATCTAATCAAATTTCCTGGTATTGTCTTTTTATCTAATCAATTTATAATCAATATAACCTATATTATAATCAATAAACAAAATCGAATTCATTTCATAAATTAAAATGTCTAACAATATTTAATATATTATTTGTACATAAAAGCAAACCTTTTCAAACAAATCAAGTGGGTCCCAAAGATTAAAAAAATGTTCAGTATTGGTACAAATCATCTCCCTCCTCTCTAAATTCACCAGATATAAAAAATGCAAACTAATGAGTCTTATTCCAAGTCTTCAACCTTCTTATTTGAGAATCTCAGTTTACAATTTAAACTGCATAATATGCATTTCAATTCATATTAATGCGGCCCATGTAGTCCTGGTCTTCAACAGAGAGAGTTATGACTTTGGCATCTGCACGAGAACCATCAAACTGAAGAGGACCTGGATTTCTATAAATATCATCCATGAGAAAGCTTGTTGCATTTTTTCTCAACAGCCTGCAACCAATTAAAATCATGCATCGGAGAAATGCCCTTGATAGAAACACTACCAAGAAATGAGACCAAACAAACTAAGGTGAAAGAAAACAAGTGTTGCTATTATCAAGTATGTTTAATCAAGTTATGCGAATTTACTTATTTGCATCTAAAATCTCAGCAAAAAGTCTTATATTCCATATGAAGGTATATATGAACACATGCATCACACATGACAAGAAAACATACTCATCAGCTTTGCCTCTCAAGTCCACGGTAGCTAGATGAATAACAAGTTTGCCAATTGATGTGTCTCTTGGATTTGGAGACCATCGTTTCACAATCATCATAGCCTAAAGTTCACCAAAGGAAAAATAGATGAGTCTCTACCATGGAAAGCATTGAGATATTACACAAAGCTATCATAAACAACCATAAATTAAATAACACAAGAAAAATAAGGTAAGAATGACATACTGCTATTGGAGCAGCCCCGCATCACCACTTGTTTAGAGTATTCTTTAGGTTAGTTATAGTTGCCATGTACCCATTAAAACCTGTGGCAAGTATATGGTAGCAGATGTGTCCAAGGACCTGCAATGATATCAAAGGTTATTAATAGAAGTCGGGATGGGAAACACTTTCAAATGAAACTTACTAGAAGAGCTAATAAACAAAGGGAGATTACTGAATCAACATACATATGCGTAATCACAGTCAAATTTTGATGGAAGAGATCCACGTGCTTGATAACCAAAACAGTGGCAAATAACATTGAACTTCTTTCCCTTGTATGTACTTTCTTTCTGTCGAAAGGAACAAGAAAATATTTTAAATTTCAAAGTAGTAGGGGAAAATTTACCATCAAGAAAATGAAATTAATCAAGATAGTAATCATATAAAGGATGGCTCAAGATTATATCATTCATAACTGACAATTGACCCTTCATGATGATTTTCAAACAAAACTAATATATTACAAAATGATCAACCATTTGATGTAACAGAAAATGTTCTTATTTCATAAATCAATAGGAATAGAAAAGGAATAAAAGTTCCATGGTAAACTATGACAAAGCACGTGCTCAACAGAGTGGGTTGCCTTCTAAATCAAACTATGCATCACAGAGATCACACACAATTCAATAATATATGTACCTTGGAGGTAAGTTCATCTAATGCATGATACGTAGTCATCTCCAACTCTGTTGTACATGCAGCAAGAAAACTAGAAATGGCTTCTAAAGCAACCTGCAGTGCCTGAAATTTAAAAGGTACAATCAGATTTTTATAATCAAAACAGAAACTAAATACACCATACTAGGCATTAGAATTATTTTGAAGAGAAATGGAACATAGCCTCACGGTTCTTCAATTCTAGAAGTAGAATGCAAGCTTAATAAAGTAAGGAGTTCAAGCCATCAAAGATTAACTTCCAAGACACATCTGGACATATCTCTCTCACCAAAATCAGATTAAAGAAAATAGATTTAATAATTAAGGAAGGAAAACAGAATAGAATTCTGCACCAAGAGGAGAAGAATTCAAGAGATATGGCTTATAACTTATAAGTTATTGCTTAGTTAAGGAGAGATATGGCTTATATATAAATTATAAAGCTTGGGAAATCCTCTTCACACAATTCAGTTTTGTCGAGTTAAATTTTGGGTTACACAAACCTAAATTCCATCTCCTCGACCCACTGTTATCCTAAGGCACGAGCGTGGTCATCTATTTATACTAGTAGGATGCAAGCATTTGCACAGTTGATGGGTGTAACGACATCTTATATTGACTTGGGTGATTCGTGATATTTGTGAAGATATGTAAAAATACACTATTACTTTTTGTAAAGGTGTAAATTCAATTTTAAGTTTTGTGAACCAATGATTTTGAAATCCAGGCAACTGACTGTGATGGAACATAATTAATACCATTATTACGAGCTCGATATAAACCCCGATAATATATGTTTAATTGTCGGAAACATTGGTAATGCAATCTAAATTTTATATTGAGGAAATACAAAAAAAATTAAGAAATGAAAATGTATAGCTATATTAACAATGCTAAAATATTAAATGCATTATCATACAAATGTTAAAATTAAAAAGTACGGCTGGCTACATTAAGAATGTAAAACATACAAAATGTAGTAATTTACTTAAGGCCAAATTTTGGAAAAGAAAATTATTTAACGAACACTTAAGGTAAACATTAGTGTATCCCAAATAACACATAATCTCGTGAGTTATAACTTGTTAAAAAAATGAAATACAAAGTCCTATCAATTAGACGTCGACCGTCTACCACGCACATGCCTCTGCCCTCTCCTAGTCGGAGAATATTCGTCGATGCCCTCATTAGCAATCTGAAGCAGGTCCACTGACACCTGATGTGAAACAGTACCCTCGGTCACATGACGACACGATATCAACGATTGTAACATTCTCGCCATTCCCTAAATCTAGCCTGCATTATAATTATGTCAAACAAATAAGTAAACATGGTTAAGAAAATTTAATAACATAAGCAATGAAAAATAACATACCACGACACCAGATGGTGAAGGTGTAGAGGATCTATGATGGGGTCGTGCCTTGTATGGAACATCGGGGCATTGTGTAGGCGCAAGAGCCGGTCTCGCGTTAGGTGGAGCAGCAATAATATAGGGATGTCAAATCCTCCTAAACCACTGTATGTATCCATCGACACATTCAGAAGGGTATGATGCCTGTCTCACATTCATAATAACGTGATTCATGAAGTGCAACCACACATAATCAACAACGACTACATCTGCATCTGCAACGGTAGTGGGTGGTCGTGGAATCTCCTGGTATAACCCAAAATGCCTCATCACGTGCTCAGGCAAATGACGGGAAAAGGTGTCACCAATTCGAATCCATCCAGAATACATACAGATGTCGAAGAATGGACGAATGCCCCGATGTCCTTCATATAGATGCCATAGAACTCCACTGTATGTCAGGCCATCCAACTGCGACCAAATCTCTACAAGAGTCGAACTCTGTCGAGGGCTCTGCCACCTAGCCGCACGTGGTGTGGTGTCATCATAAGAAGACACCAATTGCCTCCTTCCCATGTTAGGGAAATGCTCGTATATCCAACTCTTTAAATGCAATTATTCAATTAAATATCTTTCGTCTTTGAACATGGAAATAAGTACATCAAATAAATGTGAAGGGTATATGTTTGTACCTGAAACAAAGTTAGATATCCAGCCATCTTCTTCGTGGAAGCCAGACTTGCATCCCTGAGTTGGTCGTACAAATGTGCGAGTGCAGCAACACCCCAAGCATATCTGTTACACGCGTGTACATCTCTAAATAATAGTAGGTAAGACACGCGTATAGAAGTGACACTTTTATTTGCAAAAATTGTGCATCCTACTAGATGCAACAGATATGCTCTGGTAGCATAGTCCCAATGCTGCGACTGAGACCTCTGAACATATATATCTCTGAGCCAGCTGAGTCTGACTTTCGGACCACGTGCATTGTCCATCTCAGCACCAACTGTGCCATCATCCTCAAACTTCAACTCCTCCAAATCACATAATTGTCCCAGTACCGGTAGGTGAAGTAAAGTGGAGACATCGTCAAGACTGATCGACATCTCCCCTATAGGGAGATGGAAACTACTCGTGTCAAAGTGTCATCTCTCTATGAAACCGAGCAACAAGCCCTTATCAACGTAATCATATCAAATATCTGTGAGAGGCATCAAAGAGGAATTCAACACAATGTGTTGAATTCCTTCGGTGCACGGTCCTAACTTATTAATTTTTTAACCATGGGAGATCAACTTCAGTATCTCCCCTCGATCCTACACAACAATATTTAATATCAATTTTATTCGAAAAAAACTTAATAATTAAAATTTAAGTTATGCACTCACCCGACCCTGTGAAATACCATAAGCAACATGTTGAACATAGTGCGTCAGCAATAAAGCATCACGTGGACCTCCAGGAAATCCACCGACATCTTCCTCTTGTATGTCAGGAACATCGACATGTTCCTCCTCCTCATTATTGTCGTGAGGGGCCTCAAATGCCTCCTCCTGAACAGGACCCTCATAGGCCTGATACGCCTCCTCCTCAAACACTCGGTCCTCGGCTATAGGGTTATCCTGAATAGGAGCTGCACGTCTTCTCCGAGCTGAAGTTGTAGGTCGTCTCCTACCTTCACGTTGTGCAGAACTCTCCCTCTATAACTTTCTCTTCGGAACTGTCTCCACGAGAACTAAAAGATTCACCTCGTGTTCTTGTCATTTCTCACAAAAACATTTTTAATTACATTAATAATTATTTCATTAAATTAATATTATTTTTTTTCATTAATTTAATAATAATTATTTCATTAAATAAAATAATTTTAATTTAGATATAAATAAATAACAAATTATAAAAAAATACTAAATTAATTAAATACTCTATAAATTAATTAAAAATACAATAAATTAATAAATAAATTAAAATAATTACGTAACAAATTAATTAAAAATAAAAAATTAAAATAAAATTAGTTGATAAAAATAACTAAAAACTAAAAACTAATAATAAACTAAAACAACATCCAAACCTAAACGGATGTCGCATTTCTGTTTGGCCCAGACGTGGATATAAAAGTAATTTTTATGTATGAATTTAATATAAAATTCTAATAAAATTTTAATACATAAAAAATATTTGAAAAATAAATATATTACGGTAAATTAATTTACAAAATATAAATTAATAAAATTTATTTTATTTATCGTTTTAATATTTTTATTTTGTTATAATAAAAAACTAATTATAGTTATATTAAAAAACTATCAGTATTATATTTTTAATATAATAAATAAAGAAAAATTATTATATGTTTTTTTTAATATATTATATTTTGATTTTGATATTATAATCTTATAATCTTCTCGATCATCATATATCATATATATATATATATATAT